CGTACTGCATCTGTGTTGTTATTATCTTGGAAGGATACCACATGTCCTCCTGGCAGATGAATTGCCAGACGAACTACTAGAGGCTACTCCCTGTGTACAGGAAAACCAAACAGTCGCCATGCTGCCTTAGTAGGGCTAATATACTAACGCTGTAGGTAGGATGTAACCTTGTCTTAATTCTAAATACAAACAGTAACCTAGTTAGTGCCCTTATATATATACTTATAAATATATTTAATAGCCTTAACAGATGCGCAGACTTCTACATTAACATGCGCATTATATTACCTAGATAGGAACAGACTGTAAGGAACAATCTACTAATTATTAACTATAACTTTATGTTGTCTACACTTAACTATCTAGACTTAGCTATTATTTTACTAATAATAAATTAGATAACTATCCTCCTTTACTATAGTTTTTATAGTAAAATCCTTTAGAAATCTTTTTTAGCAAGAAGGCTGCTCTAACCTAGGAAGCACCTGCATGCAGCTAGCAGATAGATTTAAGTTGCTGTAAGGACTGTGTACTATAGACCTTATAACAATATTAGTTAGAATACTATTAGGATCCTAGGACTGTGTTAGACGCTTAGCCTATATAACATAATTAATAAAATTAGGCAATAGGAGCTAATCTCTATTATCTAGGTGCATAAAGAGTAGGATGTAGGCATAGGGAAGTCCCTGCTTCTAATACTTAATTGTGTAAATAATGCTAGTAAAGTAACTAAACACTTGCTGTAACTTAATATCCTCTATTAAGAAATCTAGCTATAACTTAAATATTTAAGTAATTATATTAGGCTAATCTAAAGCACACTGTGGCTGTTTAAGTTCTACTATTATCTTAGGCTACTTAGGATTTGCAGTAAACATAATAAACAGAGAAAGGCGTCTAAGCTTTTAGATAATAGCTATAAAATCTTAGTAATACTAAGATATAAACTAACTGCTGCTAATGTAACTTAAAGGGAGTATAGTACAAATACTAATAGATTGCGCGTTAAAATTGTTCTAGTATAAGGCATTACTAATGCCTTAATAGAGATCTGCTTAGAGTTTTAACTAATTATTACAGACCTAATAAAGCTTTTTTTATTTAACCTATGCCTAGTAATCTATTATCTGCTGTTAGAATAATTAGCTATAGGCAAAAGGTACTATGTTGCAACCCCTTTAAAGAAATAGATAGAATTAATAAAACATAGTATTAGTAACATAGGGATTCTTCTAGACTTTATTAAAATTACGCAGCGTAAGCCTAAAGAAGAATCTAGGCTAACTAGCAGAAAACATAAGGACATAATAGAGAGGCTAATAGGCAGGATAAGAAGAATAGACTTAAGAGTAGAATTAGGTAAAGTTGTTACTATTATAATAATGCAAAATTAGACTACAACCTATACTCTTATTAAAATCCTTTGTAATTAAGCTAGCAACTTTATTTAAAACTAGCAGATTTTTTTATTGTTAGTTAGCACTAGCCTTAATAATAAGCTTTAATTAAGGGTTTATAATAATCTAAATATCTTAACTATTACGCCTAGCCCTCTTTAGTCTTTTGTAAGCAGTTTTATAAATAGAAATCTATAGATTACAGGCATCTGCCTTTAACATATGCATAAGCTTCTGTAATAGGGTTAGGTCTAGGTTTAAATTCTAGTTGCGCTGCAGCTAAGTACTTAAAGTAAACTCTAAGTTATAGAAGTATAACTGCGCGTAGCTAGCAGCAACCCCCTAAGCAGGCTCTAATAGACCCTATAAGTAGTAAAGTTCCCCTATAATCTAAAATATCCTAACGCTATTCCTACGCACGTTGCGATCTGTAGCGGTGTAGTTAGCAGAAGTAAAAGCTAGAGAAGCGTTATACATATAAATATTATTACAGAAATGTGCACTTTTTGTATAGAAACTATCTAATAAACTTTAGATAATAACTAGCAGGTTCTAATAAGACTCTAAATAGATATCCTTTTAAAGGCAGCAGAACCTATATTTTAGCTAGCTAGTAGTAGACCTAGCTAAACATTTATTAATCTAATAATAAGCACTACATTTTATACACATAGCAGTAGGATTACGCATTAGGCTAAAATTAATAGGCAAATAGTAGAGTACACCTGTAATATATGCAGCTAGGCATAGTTCTTTAGTATTAATTAGATTAAGCTTAAAAAATATAAAAAGCTAGAAAGCAGATGTAATTAGAGTATATTAAGACACAGTAAACAGCAGAGAAGTTAACTAAAGTTAGGGGTTTAAATAGATAAAAGGAAATAGAGGCGTAGAAGTTAGAGTAAACTAATTAATGTTTAAGTAGATAGAAGAAAAAGCAGATGTAGATGTTAAAAAAATACAACTAATTAAGACAGAATTAAACACATTTAGATGTAAAGGAGTAGAAGATACAGTTTGTATCTATTAGTAATAAAAAGATTGTTCTTTGTAAGCGTTGTACTGTACCCTTTATGTTAGTAGGTTAGAATTAATTTCCTAAAAAGCGTGTTGTTTCCTCTAGGATAATTTAGCAATAACAAAGGAAAAATAGAGATATAGACAAACAAATCTTCTATGCTGCTAATAATGTTTATATAGAGCACTGCGTTAGTTAGTTGCAAAGTTAGATAATAGGCAATAGGTTTAACATTTCTTGCAGTAAGGCTAGAAAGACATACTAAGCCTAAGTAACAGTGTTAGCAGATATCTACAAATATCTAGCTAGAATTAGACAGATATAACTAAGAAAAGGGGACAGTACTAGAATACAGACGCTGACACACTAATTCTAGCTTAGCAACACCTTAAAACTATAAACAGTAACAAAGGGGTAAACTTTAGCCTACTAATAACAGAACATAGCATTATAATATTGCATTAAAACACCTAGAATATAGTAATAGACCTAGTAAAATATATTTATTTGCCTTAAAAATCTAGAATATTTGCAAAAGTAGTAGAAAGTTTTATAGGCTAATTAGACATTAATCTGGCCCTTTTTTAAACTAATAAGAGAAAAGGCTTGGCAAGATGTACAGTGAATAATAGAGATGCGATTCTGCTGACTCAGCTCTACAGCATAGCTAACGTAAGCCACTACTCACCTGGCCACACCACTCATCCGGCAGCCCCACCAAAGTCAAAGCGACTCTTTGACAGATAGCTGAACAACGACTGAATTAAACCTATATAAATATATATATAAAAAATTCCTAATTACTTCTACATTAAGTCCTGTTATGGCCTTGCACGTGGCACTTCGAGCAGGTTGGTGGTGCTCGCTGATAGACCTGCGATGCCTGAGCCTGCGCATGCACCTCAACTGCCCTATCTGCCTCTGCAGCCAGCCTCTGACCTTCCTGGCCTGTGAGCGTCCCTCCTGTAGCAATATACTGCTGTCGCTGTTGCCTCTTCTGCTCTTAGCGCTGATTAGCTTAACGCAGCTTAGTAACTTCCTCTGCAAGGATAGCAGTTTTCTGCATTGCAATTTCACATAATTTAACAACTTAAGTAATTGCAAGGCTAGTAGGGCTCTGTGATTAACGCCTAAGGCGGTCACAAATTATTTAGGCCTGCTGCTGAAGCTAGACAACTGTACGCGGCGTATCTGCAGCCAGAGGTCTCTCTCTGTTAGCTTCTTGTGGCGGCGGAGACGGCGTTCTGACTGGAGGAAGCGATTGCAGGACGTGATTAGGACAGTAGGGGACTAGACCTGTTGCCTGAAACCCGCTTTTAATGCTCTGCTCAGAGAATAGAGTAGGCCTGATACGCTTGTAGATAGCGAGAAAGTCTTGCTTGTCAATGTGGAAGATGTGATTGCGCGCGAGCTCTGACACCTGCTGTCTGTACGCTTGCTTGAGTGGCGCGAAGCAGCTAACATCTAGAGGCTGTAGAAGATGGCTGCTATGAGCTGGCATACAGAGACTGATAATCTTGTTCTCTGCGCAGTATAGATCAAACTCCGGCGTCGCATGACTACTGTGGCCGTCAAGTATAAGCAGTTGATAGACTCCGACCATACGCGATCTGGTGTGATCGTTGAAGTGCTCTAGCCAGGACAGGCCTAGCTGATCAGTCGTCCAGCCGTTGTCGCTCACTGCGATCGTCCAGTCGCCAGGGATATCGCAATACTAGCTAGCTTAATGGCGCTTAGCACTAAGGATAATGAGTGGTGGGATTGACCACCTAGACGCGTTAACGCATTCAATTGTCGTGACCCACTCGCGATTGCCAGGTTGGATAGCAGCTGCTTGTCCAACTTAATCAGAGCTAGTAACAACCTTTGATATATGACTAGCAACCCCCATTATGAATCCTGTCTTATTGAAATTGTAGATATCATCGTCTAGTATCCTGTACGCGCGGCGCGTGTTCTCTACTAGCTTGAACTAGGCGTTGAACTTGACTGGATCTTGACAGAGAGCGCGCTGGGAGTGCAGCTTCCTGTCCCACTTGATCTGGAGCTCTGCCTGGGTGTTAACAAAGCGTGATACCCAGTTCTTGCTAATTAGAGGAGGAGGAGGATCCTGGCCGCGAGCTTGGAGCAGAACGTCTGCCATTTGGCGCACGTTGATAATATAGGGCGGAAATTCTTGCTAATTAAGGTCTAGGATCTAGCTAACAAGAGACTGCTCTTTAACAGGTGATAGCTTTTGTTTCTTTGCGTTGGCGACAGCCTTTGGTTAGGCGCCTGCAAGACGCGTTTGGAGCGACGATCAAGGCGTGTTATATAGAGCTGCAACGCGATTAATAGACAGATCTGGGTGGCGTTAAAGGACAGAGACAGCTAGAAGTAATCTGCCTTCTTTTTACGCTGATTGGAGCTGTTGCTGTGGTGGTAGAGGCATTTTAGTTGAGAGAGTCGCGTTGATTTTGGTGGGGCTGCCGGATGAGTGGTGTGGCCAGGTGAGTAGTGGCTTACGTTAACCCTCGCTACGATTCCTGCACCGCACTTCTTCCTAGTCTCGAATCTTCGCGCACTTTGTCTCCCCTTCTTCCCTGACATATTATTTCAAGCTTCCGCAGAGCACCATCTTATGGCATGGCTAGACGTCAGATCCTCGATTTACCGGTTTCTATCCGCGATCAAATCTACACCGAACTTCTAGTCCCTCCCGTAGTCCAAGTTGACAAGGAAACCATCACGCAAGAGTGTCCCTCCATCAATGTACTCTACACCAACAGGCAAATATATGCCGAGAGTAGCAATATTCTATACGCTAGCAATCTTTTCACAATCATCACTACCAATTCTCCAGACCTCTTCAACAAACTTCCACGAGCACGGACCCCATTAATCGAGATCAAGCATCCTTCTAGGATTGCACAAACCCATCGATTTGCGATGATGGCGGAGTTTCTAGACTTAGACACTCAGATACCTTCGAAAAGTACCCCGATTTTCGTCGCCTCATCTCAAGCTCTACCTTACCTTGCCAGGGGGCTGCGGGAATCTGTAGTTGTCCGATTTGAGGTTAGAAATACATTTCGGTACACAGTTTCCCGAGCATCTAAACTACTGTTTGGTCGATTTCTGGCAGCAGAGCGGGTCCCTAAATTCCAAGCTGTGCAGATCGATGGCCCGGTGGATGACGAGTATCGCATGGCAATGAACCGTGATTGCGTTACCACTTTCAACATCGCATGCCGTTTGTTTCATCTGGGGTTGATAGCATACAAAGACCGTGTTCAATTCAGAATGCGCGTGGAGCATGAAGGCGAGGACGGTCACGGTGTCGAGGAAGACATACCAGAGGCTCAGGTCACCGAAATCCCTAAATTGTTGTTGCGATTCATTGACATCTTCTGGGTGTGTCATGACTACAGGTTTCTGGAACTCGGCCATAGCTGCAACATTACCGGGAGGGCCTGGTTCTTGATGGCTTCTGAATTGTACTGCACCCTGGCCCAGGGCTACGTTATGGCCGCCAAGCGTTCTCCTTCTATTGCTTCGATTTGCTACCGCAAGGCTCGATGTGCCGCAGAAGAAGGGATTGTGTACTTGAGTCAAAAAGTTCGGTCCTTGGATTCTCCTCCTACTGAAACAGATCCTGAGGAGTGGAGAGAAGCCTTCAAAAAAGCCCAAGTCGCTCTGTCGATTAAAGCAGCTAACGTATCCCTTGCATTAGGCGACGACGATTCTGCAAGAGCGTACGTACTTGACGCTCTTCTCCTTGATCCGGGGAAGAATTACCAGGCCCACGCCCAGTTACCAGACCAAGGCTGGCTAGAAGATCTAAGTCTTGAGGGGCACTGCTCGACTGCTGCGGTACTATGGAGGAAGCCGGCTGCATGAGGATTTAAGCAAGAAGATGGGTGGGTGATTTCAGGAAGACCCATACTTGACGGAGGAGGAATAGCTTGCCTCAATGCCACCTTCGGATGTCGTCAAATCTTAGAACGAAGTTCAATAAAATAAATGACAAAATATCACAAATGGCTAGCAGGTTTGGCAACCATCTGGTACACAGCACAAATAAGAAGAAGAACATTCAAAGTACTCACAGCTAATTTTGCTCACTATTTATCCGAAGAAAAGGGCCGCCAATCTCGCTACCAGGATGGCAGGTCTGACCCAGCGTCCCAGTTTTCCCTTGAATTTTCGAACAGGCTCCCCAGGGTGTTTTCTTATGCGTTTGAATAAACTTTGCAACACTGTTGTTTTCTTACTAAGCCCCAAGGGCGGCATTTCTAGTCTCTAGATTGGTGGAAGGTATTCGAGGTTCGAGGTGGTCCTCCTTCATGAGATGCCTCAGGCCTTGCGTGATCGGCGACAGGGATATGACAGGTCACAACGAAAACCTTAGTGAACCTGAACGTGAACTCCTCACCGAAAGTCTTCTTAGAAATTCCTTTGGTTGTGCCTCTTACCAGAATATCTTTCGCAAATCTGCATCGCATAGTTGTCTCCTTTCTTGCAACCCAAACAATCTCTGCATTTACAAACAGGCCCGACTGAGCGCTTCGCTTCGAAGTTGACGAAATTCTCGGATGCTGACCCGAAACGTCAATGCATCCTCAGATCTCTGCATCGCGCAAGTCCCAAACCCACTCTCAGACAACACCAGGGACTAGCCGCCTTCACTCTCCTCTGTATCCTCTTTATCATTCGTCCGGTTAGTAACATTTGAGCCAAGCTTCCCAGCCATCAAAGCTTGACTCAGTTCTACCCACCATTCCTGGCCCGTCAGCACAACGTTCCTAGGATATTACTAGGAGTTAAGGAGCCTCCGGAGGCGGCTGTGGCGACTGTCAATGGTCTCACCACGAGCTTCGCACGAAGCTGGCACAGAAAAGGGGTGCGTCGTTCGATGCTCGCGAACGCCTTCCTCGGCATCAGATACAAGGCTGTAGACCTGGAGCCGTTGCATAAATATCGGGTCAGCCGCCGCGATGGAACAGTTTCTTTTCTCCTCAACTGATCAAGTGACCAACTTTCCTACCCAGTTTCCTACCGTCTTTCGTTCTCAACTTCGCCTCGGCGATTTACATTCTTTTGAGTCTGGAAACTCGTTTTTGCGATCTGGAATCCATTCTTTAGCAAACTACCCAGCCAAGTATTCTTAAATCCAACACTACCATTACCACCACCACCGCCAAAATGAAGACCACCCTGATCGTCGCCGCCATTATCTCTCTCTCTTTCGCGGCGCCTGCCCGTCGCCCCGCCGTCGTCCCCCGCGCCGCAAACCTCCAAACCTTTACCGGCGCACTAAACGGCATTGCCGCAACCCCTGTGGTCGACTCTGGAAACCCAGACCGCCCGTTCCAAGTTAAGGGTGACACCTTCGTGAATATTGGGGCTGCATTGCAGCGCAGCTGTGATCAGCAGTTTAACGCGTGCGCGAATGCTGCGAATGGGGGTGCGGCGGGGTTGAGTGTCAATGATTGCCAGGGTCAGAAAGGTATGTCATGATGGAATGGAGGGAGTTTAAAGTGCTGTGCTAATGGGTGTAATAGATCAGTGTGATGCTGCAAGCTCTGGTGCCGCTGCCAATGCTGGTAACGCGAATGCTGGCAATGGCAATGGCAATGCCGGGAACGCCAACACTGGTAATGCAAATGCCGGCAACGCAGCCCCTGCCACTGGGAAGTCGTGCAAGGCGAAGAAGCACTAAGCAGGAGGATTGTGAGAGGTCTTCGTGTTTGGTGCGTGGACTTGGTGGACGTTAAGATGTTTGGAAAATGCGTTTGGAGTGGAGTGAGATAAAGGCTGATGGCTAGATTTGGTGTTAACCTTCTCCGATGTTTAAATTTAACCGTGTATTAAAGAAATGAGAAATGTTTTCTGTATCCCAGATTGGCAGGAGAAGATGTGAAGTCGAAATGTTACTTCAAGTTTTTGAGTATGCATTCAACACACCCGTACCGTTGTCTTGCAATCATCGTAGAGCTGATCCTCCAGTCGCGAGGAAAATCGGTTTCTGTTCGAGCACAGCTGCAACAAAGTTTGAATCTGCCTGTGAGCGAATGTCTTACATATCTAGTAAGGCGCCATTTCACAGAGATGTGATTTACCACTGGACAAATTTCACAGTGCGAGTCGGTCAAACTCTCGGTTAGCGCCCTCGCTTGCTGCGCTGTGAACTCTAAATGGATTACTGTGCACAAACTAACAGCTATAACTCTCTTGGCTGTTAAGATGTTGCTCTGTGCATAATAGTGCTTTGCTCAAGGTTTGCCTTAACCAAGGAGATGCTTTTCTTCCGTTCTGATTCAACAACATGCAACGCATTTAGTATAATACAGGTTAGCATAGAAGTTATAGCTTTAGCTACGCGACAATTAGGCAGCGATTAAGAACCGCTCCGAGTCTTAGCTATTTCCTCATCTATATAGCCTGCATGTTGCACCCTTTAACTCTCCCCTCGCCCGCTCGCTTTGCTGATCCAAGACGGAACTAGTCTCCTTTCATAGCTTTTCATTTCATGGAAGCTACCTAGATTTGAACATCTTTTTCGTACAGAATCTTGTGCATAAAGTGATAGGTGGGCGCTGACTACAGATACGCCTTGCAAAAGTCTTAGCCCACGCTATGGTACTAAAAAAGCCACACTTTGAATTAGGCTAATAGGTTCTCTAGGTATGATCTTTTCCCTTTTTATACTTGTTACCACCTTTAAGCCTAATAACTTCCCGTACATGTCTAGGCATACGCTTAATCTAAGCCTGTATACGTGTTACGGGGCGGTGATGCCTAGGGCTAAGATGCTGCCGTACGCTTGTGCTATGTTGAGCTTAGAGTGTTGAACTAAAGGGCGAAGGGAGGAGTCTTAGATCCAGGCAATTTTACACAAAATGACAAACTGGAAGGCGAATCGAGTTCAAAAGCGGAAGGGAGGCTTTGGTAGTAATACTAAGACGTCTATTCTTCACAACAAGAAGCCATTCACCAACACCACAAACCCATGAGTTCATGGGCTACCGAAACATAGCTAGCGACCCAAACAGTGTGTCGCTTGTATGCCTAAAACTTCTTTGAAACCCGCACGTCCATCGCGTAGCTAGGGGAACCTGGTTCTTACGAACGGGTCACGAGCCTCTCAAGCCTCGACAATATGCAGCGAGGCCCCGATATCAGTATTCGCACCATTATCTGCCTCGCCCTCCTTTGACGATGAACCCACGAAACTGGTTGTCCATGCCTCGGGCCAACAATATTGGTTCCCGCAAGCTCCAGGAGATCCCGCTTGGGAGCTTAGCACTGTTGCGGAGCCGGCAGGGAGGGCGTGCTGTATGAATCGTATGAACGGTATGAGAATATTGGGTCTTGGGCGGGGATTTTGATGTTAAGAAATTGGAAGGGGACCTGGAGGTGGAGTTATGGAAAGGGCATTGGGATAGATAATTGTTTAGAATGGTGGACTTTGATAACAAAAAAGGAATCCATTAATGAAGCGAAACCGAATTCCTAATTATCTTAAATATAACGCTGTGAATTCTCCAGTTCTCTATTAAGCACATGCAAGCCCCCCGTGACTTCCCGAAAGCGCTACAAGTAGGTTCCTGATTATGTGTCATTTCGCTAAGCAGTCTGCGTCTAGATGGATCATGCTGTCGTCGGTGAATTTGGTGATGTATGCGTTTGTGTGTTGTTTTGTGCGTTGTTCGGAGCACTTGAAGGTGTGCTTGGTAGGGCACTCAGTTGTGTGATGCTTTGTGTGTTGCCTTGCGAGGCGTTCAAGGCGGCTGCCCTTTCGCGTTCTTCGATTATCCTCCGCCTCTCTTTGCGCAGTTTCTCTTCTTTCACCTTCCTTGCGGATTCGGCGGCTACATTGTTGTGTTCCTCTTTTTCGAGCTCCTGTTTTTTGTGCGCTGCGGCATTCACTTAGCTTTGCCCGGTGCGTGAAAGGATTCGTTGCTTACCCTTTTTCTTCGGTCGAAGTTGCAATATTAATGCGTTCCGGCCCTCTTTCCCAATCGTCGTAGATCTTACACCTATGCTTAATGTATATGGTACAAGAATATCGAAAATTTCCTCCTCTGTGACATAAAAGGTGTCTCTGCGAGAATTCATATTACGTCTGATATGCCATGTTAGATCTATACTGAAAGCTGGAGAGAAGCTTGCGCTGCCAATGCCGTGGTAGGTATGCGTTTCTTCGAGGCGAGTCATGTCCTCTTCTCCGATGTTTGCTCGATCCAGAATCGTTTTGGAGATGAAAAAGGCGTCGCTTCCGGTATCCCATAGTCCGCGAACGGGGATATAGCTTATTTGGCTCCCCTTCACCAAGCTTATTCTGGCGTCGAAAGTGTAGTTGGAAGCAGCCAGAGTTTTTAATAATGGCCGATCGCTATCCAAATTAGGATTCGACAATGTTAGGTCGTCTAGATTCAGCCCAGTTCTTTCCTGATATTCCCCTGGATCCCACTTCTGAATTGAGTCGGAGTCTTCGTCGATTTCTGATTCAACCCGTACATCGGAGAGATCGGCCCTACTAACTAGTGAGGGTAGTTCAAGTCGGATAGGTCTCGAGCCTACTTACATCATCGAGCTCAGTTGGCGACCGGTATTGCAACTGAGCTCGTCCATTAGCTCTGAATCAATTCAGCCACGCTCGAACGCACCTGTCTCCTAGCTCTCGGAGTAGTAAGACCGCGTCTCGAAATGCTTCGTAAGCATATCTCCGTTCATTTGTGCGAGTCATCGCTTTTCCCAAACCCCTCAACCGTCTCCAGCCTCGTTGGTCAAGGCATCCTTCGACATGTTGCAACTCCGAGTCCAGTCTCTTGGAAAGCTTAGCGCACAAAAGCATGGTCCTGTCCATTGCATCTGTTGGTGCTCCGTAAAGAGATGAGCCACGGATGGCCTCCTGAAGAACAAGCCGGATGACGTCTGCTTCAGACTGTTGTCTCATCAACTGCTCCCTCATCTTTTTGGCGACATGATTCCCTCGAAACCCCAACTCAGCAAACCCCGCAACGGTGCCAATAAATCCAATTATGGACAAGACGCCGAGAGGCTCCATAATTGTTTCCCGGTAGCGTATTGTGGGGCAGAATTTTGGACCGTTTGATCCACAACAGTCGAACGTCAGCGAGGCTTTATACACTTCCGCCCGATTCTCACCCGCCACTCGTTTTCAACGGGTGCGCCTCAGGCAAAAGTGGCTTGACCTTCTGACAAACCAACAGAAAGTATTCGCGACTGCATGCGATGGTTGCCTACAGACTGTTTTCTGCATATGCAGCCACCCAATGATCGTCAAACGCCCAGGAAACTGGTGAATATTTGAGGCGGCCTCATTTTCAGCTCAGCTATTTTTGGAACAGATTCTTGCAAAGGAAAGCACGCACACACGCATGCACGCAGTCAGAATAACGATCTTCGGTTCATCCCCCAGTGACCTGCCTGGTTTTATTATTCCGAGGTTGCAAAGCATCATGAGTTCCGACTACCACCGGGAAGGCTACCATAAGCTAGCAGAGATGATGGGACAGAGTAATGACTTGGCTATCTTCCGGAAATTTGGCGATCTCAATGTACTCAGCCTGATGAGTTATCAAGCTGAATTGATTGAGCTTCGCGATGAATTCTACTCCATCTGCAAAGATGACTTCAAGAGTGGAAAGGATTTCGCGCTCGACTTCCAAAGCTTATTCAGCTCTAGAGCCTCCACGAATGATTTTCAGTACACTAAACTGATGGAGATTCGAGCAAAGATACACGAGTACAGTAAGATTTGATCACCTGCTTTGGGGAAATGGCGCTCAGTTTTAGCTAAACAACATTACAGACATAAGACTACTTGAAGGCGAGAGAGTCGGTGCACAAACGCAACTGCACACACTGACTTGTCAATAGTTGCCAACATATCGAAGCTTGAATCCCCACCCACCGCTAATCTCAAATGCCTCCAAGAATGGCTCCGAGACTCCCAAGGTGGGAAGAACTTCCTCAAAGGTAGTGAGGCGTTCACATGGCATTCACAACACAAGCGAGATTTGGTCGGCTTCGGCATCCCCCTACCCGACCAAGACATGTTCACAGAATGGATTGCATCGGGTCCAGTTTCCTTATATCATCGCATTTTGGGACACAAGCGGAAAAGAGCAAGCGAGCGAGTCGTCGACGAGGAAACTGGACTGATCGATTACGGCAAAAGACGACTCAATAAAGCTACAAAGGTGATCTCAACGACGATCGCGTCGACCATACCCATGCTCATTATCTTGGGGTTGTATTTTGAAAAGGATCTTTTGAAGAGAATTTATATCTCGATTGGCATTTCCGCCGTATTTGCGGCGGTACTCTCAATGTTTACTGACGCCCGCCGAATCGAGGTATTTGCAGCTACCATTGCCCTCGCCGCTGTGGAGGCCGTTTTCATTGGTAGTGCGGATAGCAAGGATTGAAACCTTCTCGATCGTGATAAAATACGGTCTTGGATAAAGTTGTTACCAGTTTCTCTGTGCGAAGATTCCATCATAATAAGTGAAAGTTTATTCACAAGAGTATCGAGCCCGAAGTAGCCCGGTTACAAGGGGTTGTAACAAGTAGATGTACACATTTGCGGATTTATTACTTGAGATACCAGAGCTTCACCTCGTCGATTGACTGTTGATTTTACTATCGAAAGAGAAAAATGAGAGAGGGGCCGCCCGTTACACCGAAGCTCCATTCCCCGCGGGGGCGAGTCCCTTTCAACATGCAGTCCCACCTTGAAGTCTTGTATCGGCTATACTTAGATTCCTATACACATTAGTCTGTGAGCAGTCGGACTATGTATTAGCTCCGAGTCTCTGTGACTTACATTAATTAGATCCCCCCCCTAAAGATCGAGGTGTGTTATATCTTCCTTGAGAGCTCTCGTGGCAAGTTCAGCTCCGAAATGCTGGGATGCTTCCGTGATCTTGGCTAGCTCACCCCGTTGGGCTTGGATACCGGGTTTGCTTTCCCTCCCAGGTGGCGACGAAAGCCAACAGTAAAACTTCCCTGACCCTGTCAATTGAAGGGTTGACTTTCAGCTGGCAAGAACTAGCATCGCAAACAGTGTTCAACTTGGATAACCATGTACTGTGAGGCTGGCTCTGAGCCTTATCATTTTGACCGGGGTCGTCAAACTGCTTGGACTGTTCGAGCGGTTCGAGAGTAAATTCTTTCTTCCTCTTAAAGAGGACCTTAATCGCAAAGTCAAAGACAACGAAGTCGCACATCACTATGCGTTCATATATCAAACGACGTATCTCTCCTAGCACATGAAACCAAGTTATCTGCCATATTCTGAAGCTTGATGGGACGCAGAGATCATGTGGAACTGGGTTTATTGCTAAAAGAGTGTATCTAGGTGTTTTATAAAGATTATAGAGTGAGCTTAGGCAGCAAATAGATATGGTCGGCTGCAGTAACACTGCAAACACATATACTTGTCTGCACCCATATCGACACGAAGGTGTTTTAGGAACATTGACCTACGACAGCCAGTCACATTGTATTCTAGCCGGTGGAAGAATTCGATCATGGAAGCGATTGCATCAGGGTGGTCTTTATCGCAGGGCTAGAGCTGATAGATGATAGAGGGCATATAAGATGCGAGTTGTTAATCAGGTGGTAAGAACCAAACTAGTTAATTAAGCAAAAGCGTAGTTAAGGTCTATTCTTAGAAGCTTAAGGGGGCTCTAAGATGACTATATAGTAAAGAACTAAAAAAACACTAGTACTAAAAGAGCAATTACTGCATCGTTAACTTATATTAAGGAGAAACACTACGTCATGTGGCGTAGTTTCGCCTGCTCCAATTTTCACGTGCGGTAGTCTTCTTGGAGGTGAGCATCGTGGGTTTTAGCTTCCCAGTTCAAGTTTAGCAACTCTTCTAAGGTTCAATTGAGGCAAAACTTGACTATACTCACTTTCCAATAATGCTCGAACGCTCTGTACAACCATTTGGAAGAACTTGCTAATGCCAGACGATAAACAGCGTGTTTGCGTTGCCCTTTCTCCCCGTACTTGATGACGAGATCTGGCAGGTGAGGGCTTTGGTACCGTTGACGGTATTCGACTCTGTTGGGCGATACCAGCCCAGGATCTTCCCTGTCCGAGGACTTCGAGAGCGTAAACATGTTTGGACCTTCACTGGGAGTAGAAGCTTGTAAAGAAGAATGTAAGATTGGGTTTAATTCTAGCTTGATCAAGATCACTGAGGCGAAAATGTCCCAGGAGGTTTGCGACAGGAAGCGTACTTAATATATCAGCCGAGAGTACTTGGTTTTGCACGACTAATACTCGAAGTGATGGCATGTCACCTATTCCACGTTAGTATACGTCAAGGGGATGTACTTCTCTTTATTATACTAAAGGCTGAAATAGACTGAGTTGAAATAAATGAGCTAGGATCACTTCTTTTTGTAGGACTAATGCTCAAAGTAATGGCATGCGACCCATTACACAGAAGTGTATGTCAAGGGGGTGTACTTCTCTTGTTAGTACTGATAGCCGAAATACACCGCAATATAGTACTGACAATGGAAACATACCGGATTGTAGTACTACATCTCGGTTTATGTCAAATGGAATTACTTGGATCCAGTATACTCCGGTTTGAAGGATAAATACCCAGTACATTGGAAATCGGAGCACGCCACACTTTGACACTAAAATCCAGACCATATTAAAATGCAATGCCGCACACACACCTACTAGGAGACAAATTATTGGACCGACTCAACGTATATCAATCAAGGGTACTTTGTTTTGTACGACTAGAACTCGAAGTGGTGGCATGCGAAATACTGCTTAGTAGTGTACTGCAATTCAATATACTTCCAGTACCCCGATCCTGAAGAAATGGAGCGAGCGGAATGATGAACATCCGTGTAATCGAATGTATAAGGCATCGATTTCTAGCATTAGATTACAAACTCTGCCAAAATGTAATAATATGCACTCTAGTATTTCAGAGGAATTTATAATTACAGAACACTCCTCTGTAAATGGAACTACAAACAATCATTTCATTGGTCAGGGAGGTACAACTTCGCTCACGCCATGGGACGAACGGAGACTGAAAACATTGGTAAGATCCTGTCCGACATCGGAGCTTTATCGACCGTCGCCACTATTACTGCGCTTCCGACTGCGTAGTGTGATGAGGTCATCGGGAAACTCAATTGGGTTATTTAGGCCATTTCAGACAATGCTCGCTTGTGGAAGTAGGCGTTCGAGTGCTCGAGTTCTTCGGCATAAGCTCGACTGACACTGGATATGGCTATTAAAATCTTAATATTCCCCGGCAGCTTCGATCTCAACATGTCTAGCATTTCCAGAGCCAAACTTCGTTCATGTGCTGGTTCGTGTGCTAGGAGGTCAGCATCCAGTGCGATGAATGCGTGGCTGATACTAGAAAGTAAGTACATTAGGATGAAAACGCATTCACCAAGGCTTGCTGCTTCCCGGAGCTGCTCTACGGTCACTAGGAATGAACTTTCAAGCAAGCGATCGGCGCTTACTTGCATTGTTTGCAGTACCGATGCGCGAATGACATCCGTGGTGCAAATGCGCTGGTCCCAGTAGTCTGCATAGCGCAGTGCCCAGACGATGGGCAGGCCATTCTCAAGAATGAGATCGATCAGGTCAACCATGAACGTCTTAGCAACTATGGGTATATAGGTGTCAATAAGGAGTACGGCATTCTCTTTGCGAAGCCCACGTCTCCAGTTTCCTGACGTCGGGGAGTGGCAGCTTCGTGCACTCACGGCGTCTATTACGCATAGACCGGCAGAATTATAGGACTCCCCTGAAGTTGGGAAGGTGTTCCCGAGTGGCAGTGACAGCACTAATTATATTTTATTATTACTTACTATTAATTAAACGCTGGTACCTTTTAGTAAAACACTTTACATAGTTACCTAGCTTTAGCAGTAGGCTTACTTTATATATAACTACTTTTATTCCTAGTTCTAAAGCTTTAAAAGCTATATAATAGCTTAGCTTATTAAAAGCTACTAAATAGTAATAAATTTCATAAATTTTATAAAAAAAACACTAAGCTTTATTAAGTAAACTAGTGCTAAAAGTAAAAAAAAGTAGTAGTAATAATAGTATATTACTTTAAAAGAGACTTTAATCGGCTAGAAAAGTTAAAAGTTTCCTATAAAAGCTAATAAGTTGCTTAAAGTTAAAGTGTAGGCTAAGGCATCTTAGGTCTTCTAGCAAGCACTACTAACCTGCTGTCACGGTTATGTTACAGCTATCCAACCCCTGAGTACCCTAAGGGCTTGGCACGGGGTATATAGGCTCCTCGGCCTCCGTACCTCTGCCTCCGACCCTAAGGTTTACTCTCGTTACCCCCTATCCTGCATTCCCTCTCTGTGACCTGTGTTTCCTGCTCGATACCTCTCACACCTACTTAAAGTGCTATAAGTAAGGCTATAAAAGAAATTAATACAAAAGTAATTATAAATATTTTATATATATATTTATATAAGTTTAATTTAGTTGTTGTTTAGTTATCTAATAAAAAGGCGCTCTGCTTTTAGTAGTGTACGCAAGTTACTAGTAAAACACGTTAGAAGATTCTATATTACTAAGCAAAGAAATATAAAGAAAATAAATCCCTGCTCTAGATAGTTTCTCTTCTTACCTAGAAACTCTTATTTTTGTAACGGCGCAGGCAAGACAATAGGTCCGAATGCGGTGTGAATCCACTCAGAGGTATATGGGAGTGCGTGGGGACTTAGAAACCTGGGAATTCTATTAACACCTATAGGCCTTGTACAAAAGGATATCAGAAAACTACTGAGATAGCTAAGGGGAGAGGTGCAGCTAAATACTTGGAGATAGGGGTAGCACAGGGGGCAGGGCTGGGTCGGGGCAGATACGTGGAACCTTCGGATATAGGTTTGTCAGGTAACTTTGAATGGAATGATTTATGCGAATTGTTACAATTTTAAAAGATACTATTAAGTATTACTTTACTCTTTACTCTATCCCTCTAAGCTATTACTTAGTCTTCTGCTTCTTCTACTAAAATCTAACACTATACTAGTTATCTAGATCCTATATAGTGTTAGTAAGAAGAAGAAGAAGAAGAAGCAAGAGTAATATATTATTATATACTCTATTATACGTTGCCCTTCTTCTTTTCTTTACAGGAGGTTTTAGCCAGCTTAGTGATGGAATACGTTACTATATATATATTTTCTAAGCTATAATAGCTCTTACTACCTTTACTATAGCATCTATTGCCTTTACTATACTCTTGATGTCTCTGCTGTTATAAATGTAAATAAATACTCTGCAGCAGAGCGCTTAGACTACAACATAATTTACTTCACTTTATTAGCTTCTTACATAGTTGCGTGCTCACGCAACCTCTAATTGCAACACTAGACCCCTCATTGCGTGCCGCCGAGAAAGGCCATGAAGGTATCGTCAAGCTGCTGCTTGACACAGGCAAGGCTGAGTTTGACTCGAAGGGTTGGAACGGACAGACGCTGCTATCGTGGGCGGCATCGAGTGGGAACAAGGAAGTGGTCAAGCTACTGCTCGAGACAAGCAAGGTCCACGTTGGTTCAAAGGATATAACCAACGGACGGACGCAGCTATTGTGGGCAGCAGAGAAGGGGCATGAGGTAGTGATCTAGCTGTTACTTAAGACAGGCAACGTGGAAGCCGACTGAAAGGATAAAGACGGACGGACGGCGCTATCCCGGGAGGCGGTATCGAGAGGGAGCAAGGCGGCGGTTAAGCTGCTGGGGGGAGGCAGGCAAGTTAGATGCTGATTCGAAGGATGAGTACGGACGGGTGCCGCTATCGCAGGTGGCAGCCAACCGGCAACAGGCAGTAGTCAAGCCGCTATTTGACACAGGCAAGGTGGAAGTCAACTTTAAGGACAAGGCCGGACGGACGCCGCTGTCGTGGGTGGCACCGAGAGGGCACGAGGTAGTCGTCAATCTGCTGCAGTCGCACATTAATCTCTCTGGCTAAGCTACATCTTATCCTAATTTCCTCCCTACCCCCCTCTGATACCATCTTCTCTTTAGGGTAGCACGCTAAATTCTAAAGAGGGAATATGCTATTGCAAGTGGCATAGGGGCAGGTACACTAGCAGGGAGGGTGACCGAACTGCTCTAGCCAAAAGGATGTGAGCTAAAACTGTGCTTTTGAGAGGTAACTATTTGTGGTAAATCACGTGCCTTGATTGATATATTGTGGGGCCAAGAGTCTCGCTCGCAGGCAGTCTAGAGCTTTTTTTTGCAGCTGCACTCTAAATGAAAGCCAGTATCGCTAGCTACTGTACCAAGGCAAGAGTAATTCGGATTCGGGTTTTTGGATGAACACAAAGCAAACGTCCAGTCTTTCTTTAAGCTTTTTAATTTGTTCGCCACGCCAACCAATCGAAGCGACCGCCCAAAATTTTCCACCACAAGCCGTGCAAAAAAAAGGACCGCATGAGCAGAGACTAATGACGTATATGCCGTAAAGACAAGGTAAAGGGGCAGACGAAAAGACAAAAATTGACTCGACCCAGACTTGAACTGGAGACCTTCAGTGAACAACACTCGTTGCGAATGTTAGACTGACGTGATAACCAACTACACCATCGAGCCATTTCTGGTGATTGAATGATGATCTTGTAACTTTTATGATACATATACAATATAATACCTCAAAACGTCACACAAGTTTTAACCAAAGCAAGTGGCCGAAGTAGAGCGTGTAAGTAAGTGTTTAAGGTGGGGCCGTTTGTAGCGTGTCCTAGGGTGGAGAAGGAGCGGGGGTGATATGCGCCACATGGCATCATTGTGCACCAAAAAAGGGGGGGCAAGACCGCAACCTTATGGCTAGACCAATGCGTTCGCTACCTGAAGGACACTAGCACACCTCAGAGCTTGAGAATGTATATAGAGTGCTTTGTGACAGGAAACGGCCAGGAAAATTGTCACGAGAGCAAAAGGTTCAAAAAGCAGGGGTCCTTGCCACATTTCGTCACAGGCTGCACACTGCCGCGTCCGAGGACTCTAATACGCCATTCCATGTGCTAGATATATAGGACATGGAGGCAACATGGCAAACAAATTATCCCTTGATCTGTACTTTACAATCTAAAAAGGACAAGTTCGTTTACCTCGTGTTTCCGACTCGGCAAAAACGTGGCTTATGTCCCTTCTTGGCAGCCTACAACAATACGATGAATCTTCTATTCTGTTGGAGGAACGCTTCACGCTTCAGGGGTCGGACGCAAGGGCTAAGGCCATCGGGATCAGAATGTGACGGTTATGCGGAAGCCAGGTATAACTAATCGAGAAAGTCTATTCATACAATCAATAAAGCTGCTAACGTCAATACCTTAACATTTCGCGATCAATGATTGCGGGCTTTCAGGGGCAAAATTGACTGGAGTTCCTGTCGACGACGAAAGACCCTCAAAGCTGAAGAGATAAGGATGACTTGGGGCGTTCCAATCTGATCAGACAACCTTGTCCGATGCGTTTCAGATGAAGTCTCGTGCGAAAGATGAGCCGTGTATTTGGGTCGTGGTAAAAGTCGCGATGTCGTGTGAATTGCAAGTGGGCCGGAAGCTCTGGTGGTGGGGGAAGGCTTCCGTGTCTTGTTCTAATCTCCGAGCTGAGCACTCCCAAAACTTTACCGCTAACGTGACCAACTCCACTCTCTATTTACTCTTTTTCCCTCTGGATCTCCTTCTCGCGGGCCATGCCTCGCATCCTGGAGGCCAACGTAACCTTGATTGCTGTCCTGACCACTGTTGCGATCCAGGAAAGGTCATCTCATAAGTCGCTACTTAGTTGGGGACGAGAAAACATCTTTCATCCATTTGTAAAGCCGTGATCTCCTTCTAGTGGAGACTTGGAATGCCGTATCTTGGCTTTTTACTTGTTGGTACATCCGACGCTGACATTCGAGACAGATGAATTCTTTGGGTACGTCTAAGGCTGATCGTCCTGGGCTAGATCGTCGTTTATCCTCAAGTAATTTGAGAAGATGGTTTGTCCACTCATTACTCCACTGAGAGAAAATTTGCCGAACCAACTGGTCTGCATTGAATGGCTGCGCTCTTGAGGTGACTTGCAGACAATGGTCACATTCCCTGAACTTAGCCGGGAGTGTAATCCAAGGATCGGCGCCATTCAAGAGAAGGAGCTCGACAATCCGTGCTATTTTGTCTAGCGCGGCTTCGCGCGCTGGTCCAACAGCCTCACTTGGCAATAGCCAGGAATCGCTTCTCCAGCACCGGTCCCACTCTGGCATCATTATTGCGCAGTACCACGGCGATAGATTAGGAGCTGTTGGCTCTGGTCGGTTTGGGTCCGCTTTATGCTTCAGCAGCAACTCGACTAGGGGAAGATCTCTCCCCTCGATCGCGCCGGAAAGGAAGGATCGTCCGCATAAATCATAAGTAACCGGGATATCGTGGCTCAATCTCCAGTCCACGTAAAGATAGAGTTTAAAACCAAGAGCGTACTCCAAGATAGATCTCGAAGATTGTCCAAGTTGGACATCGCCCACGAGTACCGGCGCAAGTTCTGTCCAGTGCGTTGAATCTTTCACTGGCGACATAACGAGCGTGTTCCCTTGGGGTACGTGTATTTCTTCTGGCCCGTCTAAAAACCAAGATGCCAACCTGTCAAGTTCATGAAGGAAAAGTACCTGTGGTTCGCCCGAACTCTCCTCTAACGCCTTCGCATATTTCATGCACAAAGGCATAATTCTCCATATGCGCCTGATCATATCTTCACCAGGCGCCATGGTCTTCAGGCGGAAGACACATGCACCACAAAGTGAACGATTCGGATCAAAAGAACTGCCAGTCCCAGCCACAATGTAGTCCCATATCTCTTGACTTTGGAGGAAATCCTTGACTGTTCTATGCAAATATGACACCTCACCCCCTTCTTTGTCATTCTCCTGTGACTGTATACTGGATTCCGATCGAATATAGCGTGGTTCAAGGAGACCTTTACAACGACTGAGAATCCGTCGTCTCATGATTTCAACCTTAGAACTGATTTCATCAGTAGTTAGAGGCCTTACTTCTGAGGTGAGAGACATGTCGAAGCCTTCTTCTGCAAAATACAGAGATAAAAGTGACAATGGCGCCAAAGCCGCTTCGACAATCTGTAGAAGTTGGGAGGCTTGGTCGAAGTGCCTTGGCTCAAGGTTACTCAGGATCTTTTTGAATAATTCCTCTAGGTCAGAGGGGAGCTCTTCCACCCGTTTTCTCAAGTCGCTTGGCCTATCGCCATCCCGTAACCCCTCTAAGAGCGATGACACGACAAGATAGACCCATAAGAAGACCCCTGCAGCCTTGCATTTGATCGTTTGGAAAATCATAAAGGCTTCCCCATGGTTTTGCGTTTGCCAGGCCGCGAACATGGAATTGTTGAGAAGTTTTTGCGATGCATATAATTCGATGTCTCCAGTAGTCAGATATTGTAGTTGTAGCATTGGCTGACCTTTAAGAGCTTCCTCAAAAATCAGCCACGGGCGACTAGCTACGCAGACCTTAACGTTAGGAGACGCGGCTATTTTCATCAACAACTCTAGAAGCTCGGAAGTGTCGCCATCAAATTCATCAAGACCGTCGATGACGAAGAAATATCGGAACTGAGTTTGAAGAATAATTTTTTTGAGTCCATCGACGAGTTCTAGCCACGTCAAGGGGCGAAGGTCTGTACCAAAAAGCTCATGAGATTTCCATCGACGTGGAAATATTTGCGCTATTAATTCTGGATGTTTCTCAAGTAATTGGTAAAGAAGGGCTTGCAGAAGCCCCATTCGAGACATCTGGATTGCAGTGCCAGAGTTCCAGAAAAACCATCCGGCTTGGATTAGTTCATATCCAGATATCCAGCCCTGGAGATGCGCCACGGTTCTCGAATCATTCTGGATGAATTTCATCAAAGTTGATTTACCAGAGCCAGGTTTTCCAGTGATCCAGTATATGCTTCCATCACTTTCTAACCAGTCAGCGAAGCTATGCCAGTATGTCTTTTGGCTCGGTAGTGTAGATATCTGCCCGAGAGCAGGTTGTTCAGCCTCTTGAAGTACGCTTCCTCTCCGGAAGATCCACTCGAACGTTTTGGTATGAGCCTCTTTGATCCTCTCGAATCTGTCCGGTCTTTCGTAGAAGTCAAGCAGGTGCATAATGTTAGAAGTAGCTCTGTCTTCTAGTTGAGCTTTTGCAGCACTGGACAGCTCTGTTGAAAACGCCTCAATGTCTCTAGGATTCTCTGGTTGCCAATTTTCGCGGTGTAATGTTTCAACCAGGTCTTTTTGCCACTGCTTCGTAGATAACCCTATATTGATGAGGGTGTCATTGATGCTTTCTAACTTTTGAGCTTGGTCACGGTTTGCTCGGGCGCTCTGCTCTCTACGTGTAGAATTAGCATACATTCTTGTCAAATCATTGGATCAAGAAGAAAAGATTACCTCACCTAAGGACTACAAGAAGTGTAGTGTCAACTTGTCGTCTAAAAGCCTCCAACCTTGCAGACAGGAAGTTGATCCGGTCGGAACTCCAAACGCTATTGAGGGCCTGACGAAAACTCCTCCACTTTTTACTTTTCCCGTTAACTTTGAGTTTTGTCACTGCTCGAAGCAGTTCCTCTGCTCTGTCCCTACATTGACGACATAAGTCCTGAAGTTGCTTTTCGCTCTCAGTCTCCGCTGGGGGCCCTGTTCTCATCGCCATAGCCGTGACCAATCTATCTAGATGGGTTGTTATGGCTTCGAGCTCCAAATGCTCCACCAGTGCCCCATTAGTTGATTTGTAGATTTCTTCACTCTTGGACATCAAGGTACCCCAAAAGCTAATGAATTGAACTATGTTCCCGGCAAGGCCTACTGCTATGAGAGCTTCAGCCATATCGTGAGCGACGAAAACTTATGGGTGACGATCTAAAGGGTCGATAGACCGCAAGGCTGCCTACTGCTAACAGGCGGAATTCATGCTCGACTATGGCGAGAGGGTAGGTGGAAGTAAGGCTCATGGAAGCAATCGGACATGATAAAAATATGCTGAAACACAACACTCTTTCCACGATACCGTTAACCTGCTCTTATGCAAGAAAAGAGTATCATGATCGGGTTTCAACTCCACGAGGCGATGGAGGATTGCGGAGATACGTTCGGCCGAGACCCCTGCTAAACCCTCACGCGTTAGTTGCCTGAGGCAACATGCAATAACCCTGACGCACTAGGGTTCCCTAGAGTTTGTGACTTGGTTCGGCGCCCTTGTGAAGACCTCTTCGGCCCAGGCGAGCCGACTTTAGAACCAGCCGTCTATGGCGCAAGGTTATGGCGTTGAAGGACGGCACCCTCCCTCCAAAGTTCTTTCTACGAGCAGATTAGCCTTCCTTTCCAGGAAGAAGGGGGCTAGTCCTAATTAGGAATGATTACGTAACAGCTCGCTTACGCGCACGGCCGCCACAATAAACAATCTAACTAACCCAGCTTCACATCTCCTCCTGCCACGCCCACTAACCCACCTAACTAGGGCAGTGTGACCTTACTAGCTAATCCTAAACTGCTAAAGACACTACAAGTACACATTTTACTTTATCTGCATGTTTTAGGTTAAAATCTAATTAGAATAGCTTCTAACACTCTTTACTTACTTCTAACGCAGTAAATTATGTCTAATAATGCTATAACAACACTAAATAATAACTAGTTGTAACTTAATAATAAGCCTTTATTACTAAAGATTAATACTAAGGTTATTATTAATTTTTAAAGTAAAGGCCTAACTAGAAGCTAGGACCTCTTAGCTAAAAAAGCTAGTGCTAATAGTAATAGTAAGTTTTACCTTACATATATTATAATCTAAGGCTAATTAGAAAAAATAAAGGCACTAAATAATAATAAACCTACTCTATTAAATAACATATTATTAGGACCTACCTCTTTGCTTTTTGTGCCTAATATGTCCTAACTAGAAGACACGCAGTCTTGCCTAAGTCTAATAGCATCACAGGCAGGACTAAACTAGACAGTGCCTGCCTACGCCTTTAGCTAGACTAGACTAGACAGCTTACAGGGCAGCTAAGATTAGAGCTAGTAATAGTATAGTAAAAGCATAAGTAAATCTAAATTAATCTAAATTAATATAACTTAGAAAAAAATTAGACTAATAATATTTTTTTATAGCCTACCTCTACTTATATCTAACCTATATCTAGCTATAGAGAACATTAGCAGTAATTTACCTGTTAGCTAAGTTATAGACTATATTTGCCACTATAAGGTCTATATCTGCAGGCCTAGGGTTAATATCTGCAGGCTTAGGGTCTGTACTAGAACACCTAGTAGCTTTAACATAAAGCACCTCTATTTGCTCTAGGCAGACTGTACCCTTTCTAGCAGCAGTTCATGCCACTATATTCCTAGTATAGACATTACAGATATAGCATGGGTCAGGCCCTGCCTGCTCTAACTCTAATTATTTTGCTTTATTAAATAAATCTAGCTAAAGCTAGGTTAAAGCTAACTAAAAGTAAAAAGAAAAAAAAAATTATACTTTAGCTTAAACTTTTAAGTAGTAAATCTAAGCAGTTTAACTTTTTTATAAAAAACACTAATTTATATAAAATTATTAATCTAAAGCTGCTATATAAAAGGGTCTAGACTACTATAAAGATAATAGGACTCTCTAGGCGCCTAATAAACCTTAAGTTTATAAAAGATCTAAACATAAAAGTTACAACAGCTTATTTAAAGTTAGTTAAGATGCAAATAAATTAAATTATTATAGTGTGTATATAAGTTAATCTTTTTTAGAACAGCTTTAACCTAGTTCTAATTAAAGTTACACGCCCTAAAGCAGCTAAGGCACTAGTAGCCTTTATAGTAGGTTAGATCTTATAAGATCCTTACTAGAAATGCTTAAAAAAAAATAGCAAGTTTGTCTACTATGTATATGTCCTTAACTATTTTAGCTATAGTTATGCAAATTATTACTATAGTGTAAAAGGCAAAGGTTATAATCTCTAAAGTAAGTTATTTTTTTTCTAAATAAAATATACCTAGATACTAATATATATTAGTAGATTAAACTAAATTTATTAAATAAAATAAAGTCTATTAGCTAAAGAAAAAAAAGGTAATGCCTAAAGATATTACTACCTCCCTAAAGAGCATCCCTACTCTATAGAAGGGTCTAGCTGTGCTAACATCCACCCTAACACTAAAAGGGCCTAGATTAGCTTTAACTAAGGTAGATCTAAGCCTCTAAAAAGCTACTTTAGTTCTAATCTATAATAAACCTACTATTCTTTATAATCTAGTTATAGCCTTTATAATTAACTTGTTTAGTTACTAAGTTCTAAGGACTAAAGCCTAGCCTATATAGCAAAATATGTACATAGCTTTACTAATTATAATTAAGTTATTCTAAAAAGTAATCTTTATAAATAATAAATTACTATAGTCCTAGTTTAGTTAGGTCTAAGACTAGATTAAAGATATAATAGAACTTATAATAGATAAGTGCATAGAACTTAGTAAGGTAATGCAGTCCTTATTATTCTAGTTTAACATAGTAGTAGATGTTAGCATAGCTTTTAATGCTAAAAAGGGCCTAGCTAATAGTAATAAAGAAAAGGCAAAAGGGCTTATAGACAACACTAACATAGCTAAGAGTTAATCTAAAAAAGATAAGAACTTAAAAGATACTAATAATAAAAAGTTTATAGCTACTAATAATATAAAAGTTTTTACTAACACTTTTTTAAGTTCTAACCCTTTATTTATTAAAAAAGTTAAGACTTAATTAGCTATAAAATAATTTTATAATAAACACTTAATCTAGTTAGAGTTAGGCAATATTAGGAAAAAAAAAGTTAAGACTGCAGTAAATAATCTAAGCTACACTAATATAACTGTCCTTATAAAAGGCACACTAAAGAAAAGAAAATTCTTTAAAAAGTGTAAGCATAGGCTTAATAATTATTAGTATTTTTTCTAGACTAATTAGAGTAGACTTTAAAAGCATTAGGCAGAGTTAGTAGAGTTGCTTTTAGTTTACTAGGTTTAGATAGTTAGTTTATTTTCTAGATAAATGTAAGTTAGTGTGGCAGCAGTTTGCTCTAGCACTACACCTACTAACGCTTTTCTTACTAGAGTTAACAGATTAACCTTGTAATAATATACCTACTACATAAAGGACAGCGTTTATAATCTTATAATAGGTAGCTAATATAATTAGATTATAGGCTGCACATAACTATTTCTGTAATAAATATAAAGTAAATTAGTAGCTATACATTATTAAGACTTTTAAAGAAATAATGCTAAAGCTTAAAACTTTAAACACCTACAAACTTTCTTAACTTCTTAGAGTAAGTAGTATCTTTATTAATCTAATTAGTAAAATGTTTTTTCTACTTTTAATATTAATTATCTGCCTTTCTTTTCTAACTAGACTAGTGCTAATAAGCCTAATCTATGCGCCTAATTGCCTAATAACAGATCTACACTAATTAGAGATCCTGTAACATGCTACTATTGTAGTAGCTTGTAAAAGAAAGAGAAGCAGAACTAGATATTAACTCTATTAAAGGTAAAAAAGTATCTCTATACTCTAGCTTATAATCTTCTAGTAATAACTAAAGACATTATGCTAATAAATAACATATAGAGCATTTAAGATTATAATAAATCTAGAGTATAATTAGAAAAGATTAAAGACTAGTTAAGATAACATACCTAATAAGCATTAAGCTAAACCTAATAGAGAGAGTTCTCTAATGTGTACTATTCTTCTAACCTTGCACGCCTATGCCTTAGCTAAAGAGTATGCTAGAAATAAAAGTTAAGCTTAGAATATAGGTCTTTTAGTTTAACTACTTTAGTATTATAAAACATAAGCCTTAGAAGCTTTATGTTATAGTTTCACATATAAAGTAGATAGAATTAGGTAGCATCTAGTAGATTACCTACTACCTAACTATAAACTAGTCTATTCTAGAGCGGCCACTTCTAGACAACAGTAGAGGGGAACCACATCTAGGACTAAAGCCGCCCTAGATAGGGCAGGTAAAGGCTGCAGTAATAGCCCTACTAACGCTAATTTATTGCACCTCTATTATTAATAAAAGGCTAGTCTAGGTTGTAGTTAAAGTTAAAAGAGAGAATATTATACTTAGGCAGGATAGTAAAAAAATAATAAAAGTTTTAGTCTTATAAGAAAATTAGCTTATATAATAAAGTAGCATAAAAGTAGCTTATGTTAAGGTAGGTGTAGCTAATACTCCTCTTCTTTTGTCTAGTTAGACTATAATTAATGCAGGCAAGGTAAGTAGTTGCAACATAATGCTAATTAAGCATTTTTTAAATAAATGTTTACTACTTAATACTTAGCATAACAGCTACAGGCCTAATAAGCTCTTTATGTACAAAAGAGTTAGAAGGCAAAATAGCCCTAGTAGATGTGTACATAAAGAGTAACATAGTAAGCAGATAGAAAGCAAAATAATAGGAAGTATAATATAGTAAGTAAAAAGTAAGAAGAAAGTATTATAGTAAATTAAAAAAAATTAAACCTAATTTAAGAGAGCTAAGGCTAGATCTGTTATTACACAAAGCTAAAACTAGATTTCTAGAGGCACTGCCTAAAATAGGATAGCGCAGGACTAATACAATTGTAATAAAAGCAGACGTTACTAATAGAGCAAATATAGTAGCAGAGCAGAAATGTACATGCACTGTATAAAGCAGTCTATAAAATAACCTTAAAATACATAATATTAACTACTTTGCCTATTAAACTAGGCAGAATTAGAATAGAGATGCTAGATATAGTAGTAACACATAAAAGGGCTACATATAACTAGCTATAGGTAAAGATAGGATGTTATAGGTTAACACTAATAATCTTAAGCAACTAACCTTACAACTTGTTAATAGACATAGTAAAACAGAGTTAAACTAGAATCTAATACTAAATAATTAAAAAGAGTAAGGCATTATTATTCTTAGACACTAACTTTACACGTGTAATTATTTAGATCTAACTATTAAACTTACTGCTAAGTATCCTACTAATAAAGAAAGGCGCTGTCTAGCTAACAGCAGTA